CCTGAAACAATAGAGAAGAACTGGCCTCAACGCGCAAAGAATTGGTTCTACGCTCATGGGGGAAGCCTAGACCCAGACACTGGCAAGCTAATTTTTGGCCAAAAAATTGAGAGAGCAACACAGAGACTAGCTCGTGCTAGGAAAGAAGTTGATACTGGTGTTTTCAAGCGCAATAGATAGAAGGATGAATTGACATATGCCCTAGAGAATCCCGAACACGGTGGTCGAACAAGAGGCTATGGGGCGGTTCCGTGGCTACACGCATTCCTAGCAGACAAGGATACCTACAGAAGCCGCCAGAGAAAGAAGGATGAGGAGGTAGAACGAATCCGTGCATTGGAGCAATTTGTTGATGAGTCACGACAAGCATTGCTTGAATCACGTGAACGAGAAAAATCTCTTGAGGCAAGAATGCAGGAGGAGATCATGAGTCAAATGTAATCGCAATCAACGCCAGGAGTCACCATTAGCCCCGTTGGTCAGATGAAAAGCAGTTGTGCTTCTACGGAGCTGCCAGTTATTCAAGACGACGCTGGGTTGCGCTTCCCTGTTGATGACATTACCGAGCCTCTAATAACATGTGAGCTGCACATTCCAGATGGTAATAATGCATCAATCATGGTGGCTATCGGGGTTGTATCTCCAATAGACCGAACGAAGACACCAAGAATCCTGGGTCAGTTATTCAACCTGGATATGCTAGCGTCTCGGTCGATAGAGTGCCCAAAGGTTACAGCAATGTTCCTCTTGACATTGAAGGCGGTGATGGGGAGAAGACACTTGGAGAAGCAGAGAAGACATTTATTCAATGGCGCAAACGCTTCATCATCATTCCTGGGGCGCCACCGCTTGCCCTGCCTCACCCTAGGTACGAATGAAAGTGAATGAAATATTATTTTCCATTAATTTTCTATTGTCTTCAAAAATAATTGACACACAACTTGTTTTTGTAGCAGGGTCTCCCCCCAGCCTAGCCTAATCATTCATTCCCATCTCATCACAACGTCGCGGGGGGTGAGACAACTTCATCCCCACGGCGATCGCCAACTCCTACACTGGCCCCATCGCCTCCACAACGATCTCCAACTTCTACACCGGTCCCACCGCCTCCACAACGATCTTCAACACCTCCACGCCGGTCTCCACCAACACCGGCCTCATCGCCTCCACGCCGGACTCCAACACCGCTCCCACCCCCTCCACAGCAACGCACTACAAAGATGTCTAAGGTCTCGGCGGCAAAGAAGACCCCGAGAAAAAGAGTTATTTCTCAAGAAATACTTCCTGAAAAGACTGATGAACAAATAGCAGCTGAAGAAGACAAAAAAGTGAAAGATTTTTTTATAGATATCAAAAACAAGAGTCAAGCGAAGCTTAAGGAGAAGCCGTACTTTTACATACCACGAGATGTGCTGAGGCAGAAGGTCGATGCTCATAAGAAAAAGATGATTGAACTTCGTAAGCCTTCGCCACTATCAGACTATGACCGCTCCCTCGTGAAGTCACATGATGCAGATAAGAAAATGAAAAGAGCATCAGGGAAGGATGTCCCACAGCTCGGACAACAGAAGCAATCAATGCAATGACCGCTCTGGACAAATCAATCATTAGCTCTTTTTGTTTGTAAATGATTCTTACTTTTATTTAATAAACTCACTTCCATGCGTACGTGTATATAATTATCCTCACATGTAACTTATATTTATATACAGATTCCATATGTCAGAGCTCCAAAGAATACAAGACACCAGTGTTGGCTTCATTGATCCTTATATCGTATTCAAAACCGATATTATTCCCAAGGAGCAGTGGGTATCTGAAGCACAGAAGAATATCATGAGGTTCTTCGTGAAGCAGCATGACAAGACAACAATACTTTTCTCGTACAGCTTTGAGTAAGTGTTAATAATAATATAGTCTACATATTTTATGTAATATCAATACAACTTATATGCATGTACGTGTGTGTATAAACCAATGTAGGTTTCACTGGATACTCATTGTCATTGAGTTAAACTCAAGTCGGTTAGTAATCTTGGACTCGAAGAGAAAAGAGCGGGCACTATACCAAGATATGATAGACATTATCCAGGGGTAATTTCGATCTCTCGTGTACAACTATTATTGAATAGACTTTATCATAATTTATTAACATTCGTACATTATTGGTCGCACAGGGTTTGGAAAGAGTTTATTCGGCAACACCGCAAGAATTGCAAGGCACCACTTAATGTAGTTGAAATACCAGTAATTTGTACTATATATACTTTTCCACGTGTTTAATTACTATATCGTATTTCAATTTACGTGTGAGATGATGAGAATAATCTTCTTCCCGTACAGTGGTGTTTGCGGCAGCAACCATGTAATAACTTGTGTGGATACTACGTTTGTGAATTTATCGCTGCGCACATAAGAAGAACTCCTAAAGATGTCCTCATAGTACGTATATATCAATTTTTTATTTATTTTTAAATGAATATATATATATATATATATATATATGTATGTATTAATACTTTTCCTTTTATTTCAAATGCAAGACTGAATAGTTGAAACAAAGGGTCATGCAAAAAGACCATCTGAAAGCAGTTCAAGAGTCAATAGCAGGATTTCTTCTAGAAAAAGTGCTAAATCCCAACGACGAGTTCTACTTTGATCCTAAGGAATAAATGGTGTAAATTAAATGTTTATTGATATCATTATTTTCGAGAACAAGATTATAAAAGTGTTGTATATATACATATATATATATATATATCTATAATATATATAGGTTCATATTTTATTCGAATATAATAATGCTCGAGATGAGAATTAGATGTAATTATATGCGTGCGTGTATTTATATTAGCAGCGTAAAATACGTACATAAAAACATATTATATATTAAACAAATACGTGTAAGTGAACTGAAAACAAATTAAACAAAAAATAGAAAGAAAATGAACCTTTAGTCCCGGTTGGAGTTACCGACCGGGACTAAAAGGTGCGGCCACGTTTGCTCGGCTGGAGGGCCTTTAGTCCCGGTTGGTAACACCAATCGAAACTAAAGGTCTCTCTTTAGTTCCGGCTCGATGACTCGGGACTAAAAGTGCCACCTTTAATTTTAGGATCGTTGTCCCGGCGCGATAACCGGGACTAAAAGCCGTTACCGTCCGGTACAACCAGTCTGTAGTAGTGGGTTCACCGAGAAGACAGCTCCACGAGCGCTGAAGAAACTGGAGAGAGAAATCGGGCTCCGGTGAGGCACAGCAAGAGTGTTACTCAAAGAAAAGCGAGAATGGCACCCACGGCGGCGGCGCCCTCCTGCGAAGCTCGTCGGCGGGGAGGATGTGGAGGAGGAGATCGACGCCGGCGGCGGCGGGGTGGAGTTCGGCAAAAGGCTTCAGCGGCGGCGGCTGGTGGCGCTGCTAGAGCGGGAGCGGGTCTGCTCGCGATTTGCGACGTCGTCCTCCCCTGCCGGCCGCTTCGTCCACGGTGCGTCCGCCGTCTACTGCCTCTCTACAAACCATTGCCCATGTTTCCAATCCAAATCAGTCACAGATCAACACCGAAGGTGGATGGAGAGCATACCTGGGAGACGGTGGGACTCCTTCTGAGCGGAGACGTAGCCTTCTTCTCGTCAGGGCCGGCAGTGGAGCAGGAGGCAGGCGCCTCCGTTGGAGTCGACGTGGAGGTCCTCGGCAAGTGGCGCGTACTTGAAGAGGACAACGTTTTTGTGGAGCGTGTGGGAGGGAAAGACAAGGAGCAGTAGGTCGTCTGCTGCCAGCGACGGCACTCTCGTAGCGTCGGCCGCAGCGCGCGGCGGTGCGGGCGGAGGCGACGCCGGCGATGTTCGCGTTGCGTGGTCGGTCCGCTGGTTTTCCCGTGCGCGAGAAGTCGCGATGAGGACGGGCGGGTCTGCGGCGGTTTCCCGTGCGCGAGGAGGTGTCATCGGCAATGGAAAACACGCATGTTCCTGCCGTCCTTCTCTCGTGGGTCCACATGTCAATTAAAGTGGGTAGAATTTTTTTTTATGTAACAGACGATTTTTAATTACTTCGCTCTTTTACAGTATAGATATACATTTTAAAGAAATTAGTGGTCAAAGGTTCGTATTTTTTACCGGAGGGAACACAGAGCTACAGCAATAGCCACCGGAGCGGCGGAGCCAGCAAAAGAAAACAAGCTATATAACTATATAAGCACCACGCGTCCACGCTGCTATCCATATACTCCAACTTCCTAGCTGCTCTGCTCCTGAGTCCTGACGACGCCGGCGTGCGGATGACCAAGTGGCCAAAGAGAGCTCCAGGGTCAAAATTTGGACGCACGTTGCTCTTCAAAATAGAAAAAGGAGGACGTACGTCGCTCCGTTCCACTCACATGGCAGTCTACTGTCCAGTGTCAAGCTAGTGTCAGCCTCGGTTGCGTTCTTCCTTTCACGTGGTTTGGAACTTGCAAGAGTCAATAACAGAGACAGGGGCGGATCCAAGGCCCGGGCTGCCTGGGCTGTAGCCCGGAGCGCGGCCCATTAAGTCTAGGAAAAGTTTCACAAAAAACACAAAAAAAAAACCTTGGCAGCCCAATAGCCCCCCCCCGCGCATGAATGCAGCCCAATTAGTATTCTAGTTAGCCCTGGCCGCACGGCAAAGCACGCAACGCAGCGACCCTTGGCTTGATCGGCTTTTCACATTCGCGCCTCGCTCCGTGCGGCCTGCGCGATTTGACTCCCTTGGGAAGTCGCGATCGCGAGTCGGAGTCGCGACCTGGCGACGTCGCCCGCCGCCCGGTTGATCTCAGACTCCGCCACTCCGGCCTCCGCAATCTTCAGTGGGCAGCGGCACGTCGTCCACTGTCCACTCGGTCATCCTGCAGTCCTACTCGGCTGTCCCTGCAGGAAGCACGCAGGTGAGATGAGATCCAATAAAGTCTGTACTGTAGTCTGTAGAGTCAGGTGTCTAGAGGATGTTAATTGATAATTATTATTTCTTAATTCATATCCAATGTGTTTGAGGATGGAAAGATATTATGCTAAGAAAGATGCATCAAATAGTAATACAGGAAATAAAGAGACAGAGAGTCGGCTTGAACAGAAAAGACCGAGGATTGAACTTGATTTGAGAGATATAGTTGATGATCCAGGCAATAGAAAGCCAATTGATGAGTTTCATCATGACATTAGGGATGAGGCTAGGAGAGCGTATCTACAGAAAGGTCCATATAGGCCAACTGGTCATAAGTTTCCAAAAACAAAAGTTAATGGTAAAGGTCAAGCAAGAGGATTTGTTGGATCATGGTTTGATCAATTTGATTGGTTAGAGTACAGTGTAGCCAAGGATGCAGCCTATTGCTTTTATTGCTATCTCTTTAAGCCACAGCAAATTGGGTTTCACAGTAATGATACATTCACTAGAGTTGGGTTCAGAAATTGGAAGAATGCAAAGGATTCTTTCAAGGAGCATGCTCAATCAGTTGATGGCTTTCACGGTAATGCAATGAAGCGTGCACTTGACTTCAAAAATCAGAGACAAAGTGTTGAACATGTGTGGACTGTGACAAGCGCAGCAGAAGAGGAGGTATATAAAGCTCGTTTAACTATTATGTTAGGCATTGCTAGATTTCTCCTTTTACAAGCTCTAGCCTTTCGTGGACATGATGAGTCTAAAACATCAAAAAACAAAGGGAACTTTCGGGAGATGCTTGAATGGTACAGAAAGAAGGATCTGAAGGCTGCACTTGTGACGGGTGAAAACGCTCCAGGCAATAATCAAATGAGTTGCCCAATAGTTCAGAAAGATTTGGTTAGAGCTTGCGCAGAGGAGACAAGTGAGTTAATTAAAAATAAAATTGGAGATCGTTGCTTTGCGGTGCTTGTTGATGAGGCTCGTGATGCATCTATTAAGGAACAAATGGCTGTGGCTGTGAGGTATATATCATCTCTTAATTTGTGTATTTCATTGATTTTATTTTTTCTTTCCAATAAATATATTTTTTCTTTTCTCTTGTAGGTTTGTCAATGATAAAGGAAATGTCATTGAGAGGTTTCTTGGCATTGAACATGTTTCTGACACCACATCACATTCACTAAAGGAAGCATTGGATACTATGTTTAGGAGGTATGGTCTATCTATTTCCAAGATTAGAGAACAAGGATACGATAGAGCTTCAAACATGAGAGGACAGTTTCATGGATTACAAAGGCTGGTATTGAATGAAAACCTATTTGCCTTTTGCATCTACTGTTTTGCTCATCAATTGCAACTTGTGGCAGTTTCTGAGAGACTGGAGGTGAGATCAACGCGGCTAGCTGCATCCGCCCGCGGGTCGTCGAGAGCGGCAGGAGGGAGCAAGCGGAGACAGTCTGAAGGAAGAAGGAGCGAGATCGCCGAAACAAGTGACACACTGATCTGACCGGCGTCGGCGATGTCAATGGAGTGAGTTGCACACAGCACGTTGGCAGCCGTACGTGGAAGCCATCAAGCCAAGCAATTACAGCCCAAGAGCCTCGGAGACTCGGACTATCCATGGGAGGGGATGGGGACTTGACCGGAGGTCGGAGGAGGAGGAGGTGTGCAAGTGCAAATAGGCGAGCGCTTTCGTACCGTCTGAGCTTTGTTTTATGTGTGTACAACGAATCCACATATGATTGATGGACTACAATTAAAGCGCGTTTTCAATTAGTGCGTGCGTTTAGGTCATCTACTGTATATGCCTCCTGAACTCTTCTTATCCGGGCACTGCAAAAATAGAACATCAAAACAGCAAGGATGAAAAGGGTTGTTACTATTCCATCGTCTAAAAACCATCCAGTGAGATGATCGTTCTAGCTACTATATAGGATGTTACCAACTCGATGAAAACCCTTCAGATCCGACTGGAGTTCACAAATTAAAAGCGATTTGATTTCAGGAAGCAGGGAGCATGAATCATTCAGATCTTCTCAGCGCTATCAGTATCTATAGTATGCGGTAAACACGGTCTGCAAGGTAATGGCAGGTAGTGCTCCAGGCTGTTCAAATAAACTATTAAGACATCCTCCTTCTGTCATAAACTACGTTTTAGCATCGATAGAGGTTACACAATTTTGGGGTCAAAATTGCACCATGTAAAGAAACGATTATTACTACATAGAAAACGAACATAAAACTTGCTCAACGCACTGCAGACTCCAGAGAATATTCCATCCTGTTTCAGTCAAGACAGCTTACCATGGCATTCAAAGAAACAAAAGGATTTATCATATACACTGCAGATCATTGTCAAAATGAACAGTACTCAAATACAGGTAATGTATACACGGAGCATCACGATTATTAGACTTTAGAGACTAGTTTGCCCCTTCAGTCAACAAAGCTTACAGTGACATGAAAGAAAATAACATATACAATTACTATGAATGACTAGTTGACTACAAGACAATTGAGGGCAGAGACTAGTTTTACGTTCTCGGTCAAGAAAGCTTTCAATACAGACGTTACATGGACATAAAAATAGTAATTCCTCCCTACAAGATTACTAGGAGATGTAGTCCAAAGCTTCCATAACCAATGAAAGCATGGTCTGAGACCACACACTGCCCCGTTCGCTTCGCTGAAAAAACAAGCCGAAACACTGTTCTAGCTGATATGTTGTGAGAGAAAAACACTGTTTCGGCTGAAAAAAATAAGCTGAAAAGTACGGATTATAAGACAAGCGAATATGGCCACTTATATATTTGGTTTTATATGAGTGGTCAACTGATCATCACCTGAAGCCAAATGAAGTACACAGCCTATGCACAACACATATGTACATAAGAATAAAGATATCAACCTCAATCAGTGCAATGATAAAGTTCGAAACATTTGGTTGCATAAATTTTATTACATGTAGCATGCACTATCCACAGGGATTTGATGTTCCATTCATCGTTTTTCCTTAAACATAGAACAAAGCATGATAACATATAAAGCGGTAGGTGCTGCATTCTTCAATTGCGCAAGCAAAATTTAGTTACAGTTCTGTCAATATTTATCTAGCCAGAAGAAACAATAATTTGGTGATCCGGAAGCCATCAGCAATTACACTCTTGATTTTATACATATCCGCAGTGCACCCATGCTTCCTGAATCCCGAAACATATCAAAGGTCTATTTGTTTGTCTTGATTCATCACATTTAAGGCGTACGTACAATTCTTCCAAATTTGTTTGCATTCTTGAAGAAAAGAAAAGTAAGTGGAAAAATATATGCAAGTAAGCATTTTTGCCCCCCATTCAATCAGCAAGGCATCCATTGGTGGACACTTACTTTTCAACATTGGCCCAAAAAATTGCTTACTCTATCAAATTTTGAACATTGCAATTGCGACACGCAAGCACTTGGTTAAGACTGAGAAAAGTATAAGATATTCTGGGAAGAACAGAGAAACCTACAAGTGCTCTGCAACTGAACATTTTCTTTAAGAGGGTTTAGAGTTTAAGATATTAGAAAATGTAATAATTTTGGTCAATCTCTAGTAGAAACTTACAAGTGCTCCCCAACTGAATATTTTTGAACTGAAATTGCTTGGAGCATTTCAGTGATTCATTCATGCAACAAAGCGCTTGTCAGTGTTTTCGGACCACCGACGAGTAAATTTGTATTTGCGCGTCTGACTCGAATGGTGTGCTCGGACGACACAAGGGTTTATACTGGTTTGGATGGAACGTCTCTACGTCCAGTTCACTGCTGCTTGTGTTACTGACACTTGGTTTGCAGTAGGGGTTACAAACAGGCGAGAGAGGGAAAGGATCTCAAGTCTCTGGTGAAAGGAGTGAACGGGTGTTGAGAGCTCGGTTGCCGCTCAGCCGTGTACTCATGTCGTGCTCTTGTGTTTCGATTTCCTCCCCTTTTATGGGGCGTCCCGCTTTCCCTTTTATAGGCGAAGGAAAAGTGCGGGTTACAGCGGAGGAAAAGGGGAAGAACGAGAGAGAAGAAGTCTTTCAGGGTCGCCGGGTCCTTCTTCTCCATCATGCGGGGTCCCGCTGATCCTGTAAATGCCAACAGGGATGGCTCCACGTCGCGGCCCTATTCGTCACTGGCGCCATGCACAGGCGTCATATGCCGGTCATGGCGTTCCACTCCGTCCCAGCGGATGTCGTGGTGAACTGACGCGCCTATCAGCGTCCGTACGAGGGTTAGACAGAACAGCACCGGTGCGTCCGACACTGTTCTTGATGTGAATCCCCAGGTATGGCCCGTCATAGCCACGGGTTACATCGATGCATGCTAGTCTCTTCCCTGGTGTCAGAGTTTTGACCCAGGCTCATACGCTTGGACCTGGAGTGGTTGGCGGCGGTATGGGTCCCCGTCGGACGAGATGGAAACTGCGTCCTTGGGGTCGAGCGAGACGGAGCCCGTATCCAAGAGGTCGGGCAAAACGGAGCCCACTGCCTTGGGCGAGATGAAAACCGTGTCCTTAGGGTCGGGCGAGACGGAGCCCGCACCTAAGTGGTCGGGCGAGACGGAGCCCGTGGCCTCGGGCAAGACGGAGCCCGCAACCAAGTGGTCGGGCGAGACGGAGCCCGCACTCAAGGGGTCGGGCAATACGGAGCCCACGGCCTCGAGATCGGGCAAGACGGAGCCCGCGGCCTCGAGATCAGGCGAGACGGAGCCCACGGCCTTGGGCGAGACAGAACCCACGTCCTTGGGATTAGACGAAACGGAGCCCGCACCCTTAGGGTCGGACGAGACAGAGCCCGCGGCCTTAGGATCGGACGAGACCTTTTAATACGTCTTGATCCATCCGGAGAAGTCAGGATAGACGCTAACTTCCTTGCTTTGGGTATCCCTAATATTGATTCCTTGCTTTGGATATCCCTAATATCGATACCCGACGGAGCTCGGCCCAGAGAAGAAGATAACCGTGAGGCAGAAGGATTGGTTTCAATCAGGTTTTACGAATTTGATATGATATTCATATTTTCAACTACAGCCTCATTACATCAAGGTACAGAGCTACAACTAGTATACATCACATGATGATTTGGATATATTCCTCAAACCCAAGTTCAACGGCCTTACAAAGTTACAGATCGACATTGAGCAACAATGGAATAAGCATCATCCCAATTCCTCCTCAGTTCTGCCTATGGGCGATATAGTTGGCCAAATGCAACAGAGGTGCTGCCTTCTCCTTGTCGAAACAATCAAGCTGCTCTATTGCATCAGAAAGCAACTTTTCTGCAAACTCCCGTGACTTGTCTAACCCCAATAGCTTTGGGTACGTCGTCTTGTCACTTGCCAAGTCCTTCCCCGCAGTCTTGCCGAGCTCCTCTGAAGACTTGGTGACATCAAGTATGTCATCGACCACCTGGAACAACAGCCCGATTGACCTCGCATATTTCCGCAGTCGCTCAATTTGCTCATCCGTACCGCCTCCGATGATTGCCCCAATCACCACTGAGGCCTCAAGCAATGCAGCAGTCTTGTGGAGATGGATGTACTCAAGGCGTTCAAGGGGCACAGGTTCAGATGTGCCCGTCATCTCAAGATCGACAACCTGGAGAGGGCAGGTGAAGCATATTCAGCAATTTGTTTAAGCACTTGGATGTCGCATTCTTTGTTGGAGAGCTAGTAAGTTTCAAATATCTAATCCCAGCGAATGCAGACAAATAGAGCATCGACAGCATCGCGGTTTGGAAGATGCTCCATATAAAGAATAAAGAATGGCAGGATAAGCAATTGCCCGATTTTTGTACTTGCTGAATGGCGGAAAGCAATATATAATCTGATAAACGAAGAGACCTGGCCGGCGACGAGTCCCTCCGATCCGATGCAGCGCGCGAGCTCGCCAATGGCTCGGACGACGCGGGCGGGGTGCCTCTCCGGGTCGACGTCCGGAGGGTAGGACCCGACGCTGGCCATGTGATGGAAGGAGAGCGAGAGCAGCGCGTCTCCGGCGAGGACCGCGATGGGCTCGCCGTAGACGACGTGGCAGGTGGGTTTGCCGCGGCGGAGGTCGTCGTCGTCCATGCAGGGGAGGTCGTCGTGGACGAGCG